TCAGGCTTTGACAGCCACGGGATGGGAAAGTAGAAAGGTGATGTGATCTCTCAACCTGGATCCAGACAGACATGAGCCATAGTCTCTACCGATTACGTTGTTACACAGACACAGGCAGCACTTATTTTCAGAAGGAGAAAAATACTCCAGTCAGTGTTCAGCTATGCTCTGATCTTTCTGAGCATAGTGGAGTGGAAAAGGCTGGGATATCCATGCAAGAGACCTGAGGGCTAGTTCTAGCATAGCCACAAACTTGCAGTATGGTCTTAGGCAAGTCCCTTAGTTTCTTTGAGCTTCCAATTCCGCATCACTGAAGAGAGAACTGTATAATCTCCTAGTTCTTTCCAGAGTGAAGTTTTCTTGACCTATTAGTGGCACATGGAAAATCTAAATAATAAGCAGGCCTCCCCCAAAGAGTAAGGTTTGAAGAAATGAAGGAAGAAAGAGAAAGGGAGATCAATGGAGAGAGGGAAAAGGAAGGAAAGTTAGAGGCCAGAACTCTGCAGCCTTAGTGAGGAGCCTCCCACTGTCTGGGCAAGCTTGTTAAGGCAGAACAGGGGTCATTTGAACCTGGGAAGCCTGCTGAAAATTAGGCTGACAAAATGAGACTCAATGATTATTAAATGAGAAGGCTTAGTACTGGAGAATTTATTTGTATCACCTATTTATTTTTTGAAAAGAGCTTGTGTCTAAAATCTGTAAAGAACTCCTACAAGTGAATAAGAAAAACACAGTTTGCAAGGAAAAAAGGGACAAAAGATTTAAATAGGAATTGTGCAAAAGAATATATACAAAAGGCAAATAAATATATGAAAAGATGCTCGACTTCATTAGTCATGAGAGAATTACACATTAAATTACAGTGAGATACCACTGCACACCCACTAAGATAATTAAAAAATTTAAATCTGGCGATTCTTAGTGTTGATAGGGATTTGGCCAGTGGAAGAGTGTAAATTGGTACTCTTAGGAAAACTGGCAGTATCTACCAGAGTAGGGTATATGCAGATCTTATGATTCAATAATTCCACTACTAACAGAAATGCAGGCACATATACACCAAAAGTCAAACAAAACTATCAATAGTAATGTTAGCCTTAACTGTCCCAACCTGGAAATGGTCTGAATACCCATCTACAGTAGAATGGGAAAATAACTTGTGGCATATTCACAAAAATGAATATTATATAGCAATGAGAATGAATAACATAACCCTCAGGTAACACCATGGATGACTCACAAACATAACATCAAGTGAAAGAAGCCATACACCAAAGGACACCATACTGAATGATTATATTAAAGTCAGTAACTGACAAAACTGTAGTGATTATGAATGCATGCTAAGATGTACAAAGGTAAATAAAAGGAGAAAATTGATTTATATAAAAATCAGAATACTGTAGTTGTTACCTTTTAGGAGGGAAGAAAGGAGTCGTGATTAGGAAAGGGAGCGTGAGTTGAACATCAATTGTGCTGGTAATTTTCTATTTTTTTGAACTGAGTAACAGTTAATACAGGTGTTGCATTGAATAAGTTCTACATTTATTATTTATACACTTTTTCTGTGTGGAAGATTTTTAATTTTTTCCAAAACTCTTTTAAAAATATAGAGGTAGGAAAAAGCCAAAGAAATCATTGTCTCAGACTATCCATCCTTTCAGGACCCCACTCCTGTCTAATCTGATTCTAGACTTTAGGCAAAGAGAGGGCAGAGATTATTTCTCAGTCTTCTCTCTATCTATCTGCCATTATATTTTATCTTTAAAGCCAGCCTGGCCCAAACTTACACCTAATAGGTGTCAGCCAATTGACTGGAGTAATAGACACCATGTCCCTTCTGTACCTAGACCCTTTTCATTTCCCTTATTCTCAAACTGTTCTTGTTCTGTGTCAGTTCTGTCATTCTCCTAAGCTTATTTTGTCTTCTATTTGCAGCCTGGTTCATGCCCTTTGGATTAATGGCTGAATGTCCCAGCTGGATTTTCTTGGCTGGAACCTCAACAATCCCTCCCCTCTAAAGGTTTGAACACCTACTCCCTGCACTCTGAGACTTGCTCTGTTCCTGACCAACTCTGGTAGGATATCCACCAGATTTTCAGTGCTAAAGTGCCTTGTATAAAGTTCTGGGGGCCACATATGTTTTATAATTTGGAGTTTTATTTATCAAGATAATCATGTACGTTTGCCTGTATCATATTATACCTTTAGCAGATTATGGCATAGCTCCCTGTAGTCAAATACATTAATATTTCTTTCATGAAATATATGAATATTCATACTAAGTAGGATAAAAGCTATCAATATTTTGATATAAGTTAAAATAAGTTTACTATCAAACCTATAAGAAAGCTTTTGGTTTTCAGAGTTTTGTGGCTTAAGAAGTGAAAATAAGAAATTGATGGTTCATAGTAGAAGCCCAATGTTCATTTGGTAAATGGATGGAATTATGGAGGGATACAGTGCATTACATGTGCTTATTCTCCCCAATAGGTGACCAAGTGCATTTAAAAAGAGTGCTCATAGCATTAACCAAGGGTACATAATTATGAGTATGTTAGATTCCACTGCTTGCAAGAGGAACACTATTACAAAAATTCACCACATAGGTCTGCTACCAAATCACGAATGGGCTACCTTGGATAAGATGGTCATCTCAGGGCCAATCACTGGCTACTCTTTTGCATAATACAGCCAGTCTTTCTCCCTGACTATGGGTGAAGTAGGCCAAAGTGGATGGGAAAGGTGGACATGGCAGGTACCTATGGCTCTGGTGTTGGGTCTAGCATGAAAGGAATGGATGGGCTGTGTGCATCTCTTCTAGGTGGTCTTCTTTCAATAGTATTGCTCTTAGCCTGGCTTTGCAAAGGTGTTGAGTGGCAATCAGTTTGAGATCCCCTTCCCAGCAAGTACTCAAGAGTCATGAGTTTATATTGCTAGTTAAGGGTAGAGCTAGGTGTTTTTTACTTCCAGCCACCTGGAGGCAGAGGTACTGTGTCCTATCATTCTGGGGTGTTCCAGAGGCAAAAAGCAGAAAGTTTCATAGGAGGCTAGCAAGGGACTAGACCATGAGTCAAAGCCAAACCTTCAGGCTTTCCCACCCAGGAAACTCCAAGGAATCATGGGAAAACTCAGCAAGAGAAAATCATGCAGCCACTTTCAGCACCAATACCTAGAGGGGAAAACCAGTGGAGCAGGTGGGTTTCAGGAAGGTTAGGAGGTTCAGCCTGAGAGATCCAGGACACTGTGCTGTTTTCTCCTAGAGAGTGGAGACTGTGAGTTACCAGCATGTATCACCCACACAAGTGCCCGAGGCTTTTCAACCTTAAAAACAAGGTAACAGACTTACATGAGCTCTATGATTTCTTCCTGTTCTACTTTTCTGCACCTATGAATCTATGATTATATTTCAAATAATGCTTATTTTTTCCCATAAGAGTAATAATGCTCCTTGATAAAAATTTGGCAAATCAGATGAACACATAAAAGGTTAAAGTCACCCATCACCCCACCTCTTACACACTTGAGTGTATTTCCTTCCTGCCTGCTTGCTTTTATTTTCCATCTCTTTATAAAATTGTGATCACAGATTTTTATACCTTGAGTTACACTCGTGAGCATATTGGGATCATTTCTCAGGTCATTACAAAAGGTACAAGTCTACTCTAATTTGGATGCCCACCAGATATTGTGGGGCACACATAGCAAGTATAAAATATGTATCTTGCCCTTATGGAACTTACAGGCTGCCTGAGAAGATGAGGCTGATATAAATGAAACCAATGGTGAGAAATGCAAAATGGAATATAGTTAAATGTCCTTTAGGGGGATAGGCTGAAAGAACAGTGAGAATACAAAGGAGGAAGAGATTGATGTGGGCAGCACCAAAAAGGGTAGTCTCCCTGAGAAGACAGGACATAAATTGGCATTTAAAAGATAAGAAGAAGAAGAAGAAGAGGAGGAGGAGGAGGAGGAGGAAGAGGAGGAGGAGGAGGAGGGAGAGGGAGAGGGAGAGGGAGAAGGAGGAGAAGGAGAAGAAGAAGAAGAAGGAGGAGGAGGAGGAGGAGGAGGAGAGAAAGAGAAAGAGAGAAGCTGAAGCGTCAAGGAAACAGAAGCAATGAGGGGAAGCTGGATTGAGAAACCAAAATCCCTTTATCCTTTTTGTTGTTGTTGTTGATGATATAGAGCTACCCCAGGGCCAGGATTTCAGAACTTTCCAAACGTTCATCTTACATATGAACAAATAAACCCAGATCTCTAACCTAAAGAGAGTTTGAAGGATAAATCCACGAAGAAAAAAAGCACTCATATTAATGTGGCAATAGCTTAGGGTCAAACCTTTTGCCATTTAGTAATTGACTTGCTTCTTTGCTGCATCTTGAACAATAATGGCTCAAACATCACGATGCTAGTGACTAGAGGCCCTAGTTGGATGGTTTCCTAAGTAAACAGCTGGTTACATGGCTGCAGAGCCCTGGCCACAGTCAATTCACTACTGGATTGGTAGTCACGAGAAGAGAGTAAACAATGAGAGAAAGCCCACAGTGCAAGCCTCCTTCTTCATCTATTGAAGATACCGTTAAAAATATGTTGGGAAAGTTAATAAGCTACATTTATGCTCTGAAGATCTCCTCAGTGGAAACAAGAGTTTCCCAGAGGCAGAAATCCTGTGGTTTAAGGAATAGAAAGGCACATGAAATACTATAGCTCACAATTCATTTGTGATGATTCAGAAATGCCCTTGCTAGTGGTCAAGAGACCTGCCACTCATGAGCTGTATGACTTTGACCAAATTCCGTTACCTCTCAGAGTTCACTTCAGTTCTCTTCTTCAACTGCAAAGTGAGAACAATCAGAGTTCCCTTTGGGCACCAGGATTTTATGAACCTATGATTTCTTTGGACCATCACAGCCTCTCAGGTTTCGGGAATCCTCTACAACAATGCAAATAACTCTGAGAAAAAGCTACATCTTACCCCATGTTGCCAGTCACCACCATACCTGGGAATTGAAGTCCTGTGGGGGAATTGGATCAGGAAAGCAAGCAGGCCCAGCCCGAGGGGAAAGGCCCAGAAAGGAGAAGTGGATGGACCCTCACGAAGTCACCAGTTAAGCAGAGGGAGGCGCTTGATACTTCCTCCTCTATCTGCCTCTCCCCTGAGTGCCCAGAAGCAGGCTGTGCCCAGCTGCATGTCTACGTAGGTGCTGGCTCCCCACAGGGTGATCTGGCTGCCAGCATTCTGTTCCAAGCCAATGAGAGAGTCCTGAAGTGAGGTGCCCTGGGGCCAATCATAGGTGGAAGTTTCTCTTTAATGGCTACAGAAACTGTATCTTTGGATTCATTTCATTGGTTCAGGCCAACTGAAGGCTCTCCAGACTCTCATCCAATGCTGAGCCATAAGCCAACAGAAGTGGGCCCAGCTACTGGATCTTGTTTCTATCTGGGGCTGATGGGTAGCCCTGCCTCAAGGGCTTGTCTCACCACTGTCATCCGGACTGGAAACTTTGGCCATGAACACAGAAGATATAAGCAGTGGGACCTAATCAAGGCAGCCTAATGAGAGGAAGGCATGCTGGGGTCCAGGAGTCTTGCCTGGGTCCAGCCCCTGCAGGTGAGTGCAGGTGATCCAGCAAAGGGACAGCATAAGCAGGTAGAACTAGTGGCAGTGGGTGCTGTGAAGCTGAGAGCAGATCCTGAGAAGTGGAGCTCTTTACTTACTTCCCACAAGCCTCTGAATCTGAGTGATTTCCAAAACCTTACAGTCCCCTCTCTACTCTTACCTTGTAGTTTCAGTCACAGCCAGAGAAGGATTCCTCCCAAAAGAGTGAAAGAAGTCTGTTGGGGAAGATGTGCTGGCTCCAAAATGGGATCTGCATTCCCTCCATTAGGCTGCCCACAGTACTCAGAGATGCATTGGTGACTTTGAACTCCAAAGACACATTGATCTCCTGGTCTTTGCTTCTAAATATCTCACACTACAATCTGACTAGCTCCTCATATGCTTCGAGGAAAGCTAGTATTATGGGTTCAACCATGACAGTTGACCCAATTATTAGTCCTGCCCAAAGACAAAGTTCCTAACCTGTGGAGCTATCTAAACAGTCTGTACACAGGAAGTAGAGTGAGAGAACAATGACTGGGAGGGGAGGGGCTCAATGAAAGGCCTTCCCTATTTCTGGAGAGATTTAATCTTTCATGAAACATTTGCTGGGTGCTGTCTATGAGGCAGGCACTGTACTGGGTGCTAAGAGGACAGAGAAGAATCAGATTCATACTACCAAGGCAGAGTCAAAGGGAGGATGTGTTTTGAGCATTGACCACGTTCAATTCCTTTAATGACTGATCTGCTGTAACAGTTGGCTTTGTAATACTCCAAAAGCGGCCCTTAATAAAACTGGTACAAAAAATCTGTCTTCAATGCTCCCCTATTAAAACTTTTAGAAAAGAATTTGCTCCAGATTATGTTGGTCACTTCTCAGTTCCCTCCTCAAAATAGAGTTTGGACTCAGGCATGTGAAGCTCTTTCCTAATTTAATAGACCAGCTAAGAGTCTGTAATACTAGTCATTTACTCCTTAGTATAAATTTAAATATCTGTGATCCTTTTTCCTGGATTTAGCTGCATTTGAGGCTTTGTCTCCAATTGTGGAATGAAAAAGGCTTTGTCATTTAGTAAAGGCATTGCAGGGATCTGTCTACAAGAAGGAAAAGTATTTGTGGGAAGGGATCAAGGAGGAAAGGGATCCTAATAAACCTGTTAAATAATCCTAACATCTTCTTTCCTCAGGCTGTAGGACACTGCATTCAGTTGAGGCTAATCCCAACAGACTACTTGGTTATTGATAAAAGAATAATTAGAAATAATCCTTCTTTGGGGCTTACAGAGCTGGAACACCAAGGAACAGAGTGCAACAGTGATCATGAAAAGCCTCATAAAAAGCTCCGAGCACCTATTTCATGGGCTCAGGATCCAGGGACTGCAATGGCATTTGTCCAATTTCTCTTCCCTCCTGCCTGTTTCAGATTCCTTTGGAGCCCAGATCTCAGTCCTACTGGCCACCGATATTTTAAATGGTACAATTCAGGAAAAGGGACAATTCAGAAATGCGCATCGTTCCTTAAGTGCGTTTAATTGTAAAAGACACTTAATCAATTGGAGCTCCTGTCTGAACATGGTAGCTCACAGAGGTAAAGCAAATCTTTTATATTTCACTCTAAACCAAAATAAGAAGCCAAGGGAGGGGGAGTGGGTGGGATCAATGAATCTAATCAATGGTCTATATTAATGTTTTTGATATACTAGTGCTGATTTGCAGCTCTCCAGGTGCCAAATGGCATCTGGGAAACATGACTCCATCCCCCACTTGATGTAATAATTAGATTGCATAAATGGCTCCTCTGCACTCACTGCCAGCCCAAGAGACAAATGTTATTTTTGAGCCCGTCAGTCCCCTCCCCTGTTAAAGTTTCACCCTGCATCAGCAGTTGTACTGTGGAGGTCATTGAAAACCACCCAAACAAGTGAAAAACTGGCAAGGGTGAATTTCAGGAGTGGATTATACTGAACTGTGTCCCATTAGGGTATGCATGGTCAGGACCTGGGATGTACAGGAACAGATCCACCACTGAACATGCCACCAGGCCAGAAGCACAGAAAACTAGTAGCGCCTCCTGCACGACTTTGCTTTTCTCTATTCCAGTCCGTAAGGAGGCAAACCAAGGGGCTGAGGAGAGCTTGGCAAGGGAATGCATTAGTCATTTGGCATTAGTCCTTATTCCAGGCTAAATAACAACCCCCACCCAATCTATGTTTTAATGATCAGAACCTGCAAATATTACCGTCTATACGACTTTGCAGATGCTATGAAATGAAGGTTCATAAAATGGAGAGATTAGCTTGGGTTGTCCATGCAATTGCAGGGGTCCATATGAGGCCCAGTCAGTGGGAGATTCCACATAGAAGAAGGGGAGAAGGCAATGTAATCACAGAAGTAGAGATTGCAATAATACAGCCACAAACCAAGGAGTGTCAGCTGCTACCACAACCTAGAAGAGGCAAAGAACATATTTTCCCCTAGAGCCTCTGGAGGGAGGTTGGCCCTGCAAACACCTTGATCTTGTCCCAGTAAAACTGCTAAGAGACTTCTGGCCTGCAAACTGTGAGATAATAAATTTCCATTGCATTAAGCCACAAAGTTTATGTTCATTGGTTACAATGGCCCTAAGAAACTAATATGGTCCTCCAATACTATGCTCAGATCACGAGCAGAATGATATCTTTCCTGTTGTAGTCCAAATCCACTTCTAGCTAAAATACACCATTCTTTTACCACAATGCAGTATCTGGCAATAGGAATTCAAAATAAACACGTGCATGTCAACATTTTGAAATTAGGGGCAACTTTTTCTTGCTGCTACATTGTAAAGAGTACATAATGCCCTTGTTTTCCATTAGACCTTTTGCATGAATTTATATATCCAATTACCTCCAGCCACCAGGCAAGCCTTGAGGGGACAGGGAGGGACACTGAGCAGGTAGGGAAATACAGTAAATATGCCTAAATTGAAACCACAATTGGACTCAAATCAAATCTCTTTTAGTAATAACACTAAGTAGGGCCTTTAGGAAAACAAGTCATGGCAGAACTAACTTAATTTACTCCTCTGATAAGGTTATAAGGCTTGTAGATCAGGAGAATGTTGTAGACAGGATGCATCTGGATTTTGACAAGGCTTTTGACTTGGGGTCTCAAGAGCTCTTTGTAGACCAAGTGAAGAAATACAGACTGCAGGTGAGACTCCAGAGCTAGCAAGTGGCTGCTGATAATGTAGATCAAGTCCTCCAGTGACAGGTCATAGGTCTCTACATCAGTTCCAGTCAAGTCACCATTCTTATCCAAGGGCATACATGAAAATCAAGACAGATGAGATGTTGCCTGAGGAGGGAGGATGCTGGGAAGCTAGAGGGTCCAGCTAACAAATTGGATGTGAGAGTTGGGATCCAAAACAATCTCAGTAGGCTGGAACATGAGCTGACCTCTGTGAAACAAAATAACCAGTATGAGGTATCCAAAATGCACTTGTAGAAACATACATTTATATACTGAACAGTTGTCAGGATACAGAAAGCAGAGGGGTCAGCAGGCAGTATGCTCGATGAGTCAGAAGAATGGTGAGGTTAGCAGAAGGAAAAAAAAAGCTAAACGTGGCCAGAATGTGCCTTTCCAGAAACAGGAGAGAACAGGCCATGCTCCCATTTGATTATTCCTCACAATTGGGCCATGTTGGGATTCAATTCCTTTTTCCCCAATTTAAGGTTTGAACCCAGGGTCTTTGCACTGAGCTATATCCTCAGACCTTTTTTATTTTTTGTTTTTGAGACAGGTCTATCTAATTCACTACATTGCTCAGGCTGGGCTTGAACTTTGGGTCCTCCGCATGTGCCACCACGACGGACTCAGATTAAAAAGGAAGGGTAGATGTTGATCAAACAGCACAAACTTTCAGTTAGACAGGAAGAATAAGTTCTTTAGATCTATCGTACAGCAATGTGACTGTCGTTAATAAAAACGCATACTTGAAAATTGACTAGAGATCTTTAAAAAATATTTTATTAGTGCATATGAGTTTTATAAAACATTGAGTTCCAATGTGGATTTCCACACCTGTGTATAACATTTTAGCATGCCCATCCCCTCTATTGCCCTTCCTTATACCCCCAACTGTTACCCTTGCCCCTTATTCTTTGCCTCTTGTTTCATAGGCACTGAGAGATCTTAAATAGCCTCAGCACATACACAAAAATTAAGTATGTGATGTGATGGGGATGTTAATTAGCTTGATTTAGTCATTTTGAAATGTATACATATATCAAACAATCATAATGTATGCTGTAAATATATGTATATACAATTTTTATTTATCAATTATACCTTAATAAACTTGAAAGAAAAAAACCAAAAATCTCACCAACGTAGATAAAGTAAAAATTGACCATCTCACTTCCCCTCAACACTTGACCCTAAGGTCATTGTTCTTAACAGAGTCATGAATATCCTTCCAAACTTGTTTTTCTATTGAATTCTTTATTGTATACACTTTCTTAATATA